CAAATTTCACTAATCGTTTCCAGACTCATCATACATTCAAAGTAGTTACGTGTGTACCTACAGTGTTCGATGAAATATATCCGCACCTAGTGCGCGCACCGGCGGTTCGATGTGAGGTGCGTTAATCAATGGGGTCTGATAATAAATGGAGGTAGGAAAGCCACGGCTGTCGGCTTGCTGTCACGTCCCCGAGAGCCTTTTGGATCACAACCTAGGAGAGACGGGAGTCACCGTCTGCCCCTACAATGCTAACATTTTAGAGTTCACTTAGTGTGTTCCTAACTTATTAGTTCGCAAAGAGATTGAACAGGAGTGAAGAAAAACGGTACCCTTGATGAACACCGTTGTTGCTTTAGAACGGCTAACTTAGCTTACAGTAAACTCATGTTCTACCACAAGTATGCGAGTACAGTGACCTCAATAAGTAAGTACACACTTTTTGCGAAAAAGAGGATCCATTAGGGCGTCCCGGTGAACGGAGTTGAAGACTCTTTTGAGGTCAAGGAACACTGCGATTGTTGTTCAACGACGTGTGTGTGGCGTAATTCGAGGACTTGAGGCAGGGTGAAGATTTCGGTCCATGCAACTGCAGAAATTTTGCTTGCTCATACCAGGCTCAAACAGCTGGGTCATGCAGGCGACGATGACCTCTTAACTTAGGAGGCGGTTAATGCCAGTAACGGATGAGTAAGAGCGTGAAGCGCATCATAGATAGCGGCACGTGATCAAACTCAACCCAAGTGATCCAATAGGATCTGTAATTTTGTACCGAGCGACACCAACGGGAACTTACAGCTATGTTCAGTTCAGTTCAGTTCTTACAACTATTAACCATGCACTTTCATGCGCCAGTTTTGGTTGCCCATTCGGATATAACAGCAAAACGAAGATTAGAATATTCAAAGGAGATTCAAGTGTAAGACAGCCTATTTACATAGACTGATGTTACAAGGGTAACGAGTAAAGGCATGAGCGCCATTGCTTGCGACACCCAGCCATATCACTCAGTGTCTCTAACCATCGGTGACCAGGACCTCGGGGTTCCCAGCCAGGGAGCCTGACAGGACCTATGTGAGCCAGTCTCCTGGTTAGGGTTTTCATACCCTCATGCCAGGTTTTTGTTTAAACCCCTTGATCTTTCTCCAACCACGCCCTGCCCCGGCAAATATCGCTCGCTATGGCAACCTATCTGGTGACATACGTAGCACATGTCCCAACTAGCATAATCTATGAATGTCGATCACTTGCTCTGGTGAAGGACCTCAATTACCTAAAACTCTACGCCTAACCTCATCATTGCCCGTCCGGTTACCCCATCAGACTCATGCAGTGCGACGTAGACAGCGGTGTTCGAACGCCGACAATCTATTTTTATCCTGTTCCCGTAATGGCCAAGTCTCTGCACCGAAAAGCAGCACTGGCCGAACTGTTACAGCATATACTCGACCTTTCACAGACAGCTATGTGATCAATCAGAGTTAATTAGTTGGTTCGCTCAATTCAAGCCGTCCGTCGGGAGTTGTGTCGAACGTTGGTGCAACATAAGAGTGGTAGTTGGAAGAACGGACAAACGGGGTGGGTGGTTGAGTAAGGAAGGCAAAAAGTTAAATAAAGGTTGGGTTGTCAGAGAAATGACCCACTTAACATTACCCAATCCGCTCGATGCTGATTACCCGTGAGACGACCGATGCAGTAGTATGTTCGGTTTCCAGATGCATCCGCGTTTAACGGACGGGTATTGACTGATAAGGGGGTTGTCTAGTGAACTCCCACATCTCTCTCTCTCTCGCTCCCTCTTGTGGAAGCTCATATTTCAAGTTTTTCATTAGAGAACATAGAAAATCCTGTGAAATTTAGAACCAATGATGAATTGAATACGTTTTCAACTTGACCGATTAGAGACACCAAAAGAGAGGTACACACATAAATTTACATAAATACAGACCAAACCACAAACGTTTGAACAGACAATTTGCATTGAATCAGAAAAGGCTTCAACTGATTCGGTAAGGTATCGAATATCCTAACAAAATACAGGGTTCAGCATGACAAGATTGTCTAAAATCGTTGCGTGAGCGCACATACAAACGCACGTCGATACAATAAGATACAAACATGTGATATAGCAGAAAACACCACATCATTGTGGCTACAGAGCGCATTGTCGGGAAACGTTACGCTTACCTCCAGTATTTGGGATCGTTTCATTCCCAACGATTCCATGACTAGTAACACCAAGTCGTCCAGATTTCCGATCTGTGCGTTTAGCATGTGTGTGTATGGAGGGGGCGAAACGGGGGAAATGATAAGAACATATATGAGGAACGCGATGGTTGATCGTCGAAGCACAGAAATACATATACGAGGAACCTGGTAGTTTACGAATTCCACAATAAGTACAACGTGATTGCCACATCGATCGTGATGAGTGTAGCTAATATGTCACTAGACGCCGAACTTGAACACATCTCCTTCTGGAGCAATATCAACCACATTTCATTCAATGCTTCTCAAACCTATCTTCCTTCAATTTCTTTAAAACACCGTCCATTCTCCCCTCCCATATAACTCTTTTGATTCCAATCAGCTGCGCTCCTTAGACTCTGTTCCCTTCTTAGATTGTCTATAACTCATTCTTTGTGATGGTTTCCTTTTATAACTCAGCTTGCTTCTCGTGCTACGCGCAAGTTTGCTTTCTTTCATTTCGCGCCAGACGCTTTTTCACTCCAGCTCATCTTCTACGGTACAAAGCCCGGAGCCGCCCTACTCTTGAATACTGCAGTCACGCGTAGAGTGGGGTGCGGCGTCGTCTACTTCTCTTTCCCTAATCAATGATCCTTCTATAACATCCAGTCACTAGTCCATCGTCGGGCAGTTGTTTCATTGTTCCCGTTCTATCGTCACTACTTCGGCTTGTGATCTTCGTACCTTGTCTCAGCAGTTCCTCTTCCTGCAACTTTTATCCGCTCATCTCGTACACAGGCATCTAGTCATCCTCATCAGACTTCAGTTCCCATATTTCGTGCTCCTCTGCTCCAATCTTCATCCCCCCCCCCCCCCCCC